TGTGTGGAATTTTCTATCGTTCTCCCATTAAGCCCAACCCCTTCCTCTTTTTACTTTCAGAGTATGGGTTTTGTTTTGTTGCTGTGCTTAAGAATATAGAGATTAGCACAGACACTGACTCCACAGTTTCCACGAACACATGCCAGCGGCATGGATTCCATCCCCAAGGTGTGCAGCCATTCCCAGTCTCCTTGCCCAACTTGCACGCCATCCCCCCCACCCCAGTCATACAAAGTCACCGCCCCCCAGGGTCCTATCTAAGATTGCCAGCTGCTGTTGTCAGTTTAGTCCCACATAGAAAATTCTTTAAAAGAGTTCAATGCAAGGAACTCTTCTTTAACTGTTAAGCCGAGCTCTGTATGCCCATTCTAAAGAAAGGTGATCTGACAGCATGTGAAGATTAGAATAAAAAATTAGTACAAGTGAAATTGTACTGAAGAGAATTGTTAAATGGTCGCAGCAGGGCCTCGACAAGAACTTGCCAGAGGATGAGGCTGGATTTGGCAGAGAACATGAATGAAGGCTACTATTGCTGCTCAGATGGATTTTGAATGAAAGCGCAGAATGACAGAAAGATATTGACAATGCAAAGAAAGGCATTGTGGAGCATACCAAACTGTGGATAATATGATGAAGAGTGCGGATTCCAGAACACTGAATTACGTGCATGCTGAACCTGTACATAGACCGAGGCAGTTGTTCAAGCAGAATAAGGGGATACATTAAAGTAGGGGTGTGTCAGGCAGGGTTCTCTAGAGAAACAAAACCAGGACACTTATGATTTTATACATGGATATATACAACATGAGAAATAGTCCACAGAGCCGTACAAATGGCTCAGTTCAACTCACTTCCATGAGGCAGTTAACTTACTGGCAGTTCTTCAACTCACGTGGGCTGCTGGGTGCAAGTCAAGGAAGCAGGCAGCCGTCTTTTGTAGCGTAATACAGGCAGTCTGGCCACAGGCAGCAAACAGCAGGGCAGATCACTAACAGTCAGACAGATGACAGGGTCTGACAGTCCCCAGTTCAAGTAGCATGGTGAAGCGGGTCTTGAAGGAACCTCAAACTATAGCAACACAGTCCACGGGTTGGGTGTCCCATAGGTAGTGTAACTCGCAAGTTGAGGCAGAGAACTAGCTAAGGTAGCCAGCCGCCCACTGGTGCAATTATCAGGAAGCAAGAGACAGAAAAGCGAGGCTCGCTGAGCCATTTATCTCTGCCTTTCAAATAAACTGTAATCGTATTAACCCCACATGTGTTTATTGGCCAGATTGGCACAATAAACCTATGTATCACAATCCACCCCTTGCCAACTTGGCACCTGTACACAATTCTTTAGCCATATATAATTTCCAGACATTAATGAAATCACACTTATACTTAACATCAGACATCTATCATACATATAAATGAAAACACACTGAGTCCAATTGTATCTGATATATCATACATAAACAAAGGAAAGATATTCAATAAGCACATATAAAGAAAATAAACTGACAATCACAATCCTCGCTTTTGCAATTGATCATGTGGTTGTAACTGATAAGTAGAACTACCCTCTTCTACCACCCATTCTGGATTACCTTTGCCTTCAGCAAGCATCTCAGCTGGCTGTGGTTTATTGCCTGGTGGGGTGACCCAGACCTTCATTCCTGAGGGTCTGGGTCATTAGGCGTCCTGTCAGAATTGGGTTGCTGTACCTTACTTTAACCACAGGGCATGGTAGCACTAAGAGGCAGCCTATGGGATCTCCTGGATTCCAGACATATTCTTGTTTGCCTCCATTATGTAGCACCAGTCCAATTTCTCCTTGGTAATCAGGATCAAGCACACCACTCAGGACAGTGACACCCTTCCTGACCTGTTGATCCAAAGGCATGAGAAGCCCATCTAGGTGAGTCAGGAGAAGCCTCCAGTCTAACATCTGACTCTCAGACTTGGAGCTTGCCTGCACTTGACTTGCCAGCTTTCACAGCCAGATGAGCCATTGTCCTGACAACAAATTCACACACACACACACACACACACACGACTGGTTTTGCTTCCCTAGAGAACCCAGCCTGAGACTCTTCTTTGCACCACTTCCATCTCTTGGATCCTCTGTTGTCTTTCCAACTGGGCTTCCTGCTCTCGCTCGTTACCACTACATTAAAGCTACAGTGATTTTGACCGTGCCATCTCTCTGTTTAAATTCTTTTCCCACTGCTCTGAGCATGAAGCACTACCTCCTACACCCCCCCCCACACACACATACTATGCACAGTTGGCCTGGTTGCGCCTGCACAGGTCTTGGACCTTCTGTGACCCTTCCGGAAGGTGCTCACCGAGCCCCTGACCACCGCCCGCACACGGTATGTGCCCGGCTTTCTTCTGTGAGGCCTTCACACTTGTGTGCCTCCACCCCCTTCTTTGCCAGGTAGTGGCTACCCTTCCCAAGACCTCCACTCATGGGGCATGTTCTCAGAGAAGCCCTCCCTGACCCCCGGAGCCAGGGTAGTTTCTCTCATAATATCGTCTCATGGAATAGAACTCCTTTCCTTCAGAGCAGTGATTTGCTTGTACACTTACTTTTATGGATGCGCTAACACTGTGATGCCTACATGTGTCTGTCCACAAGCTCTCGGAGAGCAAGGACCATGTGAATCCAGCTCCTGCACAGCATCTGGCACGTGCGCGTGCACACACACACACACATGCACATACTTGCACACCTGTAATTCTGTATGAGAATGGATCCTGCCATTCACTTCCTGGACTGTGGCATTCCCTGCCCTGTGGCAATTGGGTGTACTTCCCTGTGTACTCTCCTCACTCTACTCTTGCCTCTTCTTCTTGGAGACCTCCTATGCATCCCTCAAGGCCCCGTTGCACTGTCCCCTCTCTGATGCTTCCCATGATAGCTTGTTCCTCTCAACATATATATTGTTTCCACCTTGAATCTTTCCTCTGCCCTCTCATTTAGTGCTGTGCGACGACTTCTTGGCTGGTTGGTTTTTGCTAGGCTCCTTGAATAACTATGTGCTCCCTGAGGACCTCTCTAGATCTCCAGCACCTAGCATGGCACTGGGAGCCATGCACGGAAAGGGAAAGGTACTGACGTGGACCGGCATTTAGACATTAAGGCACAAGGTTTTGAGAGTTTTGTTTTTCTGACACCCAGGGCTCTCCTTTCCCGTACCTTCCCATCCCAGGCATGTCTCTAAAACATCCCGGTGTTTGGTACCAAGGCTGGGCTGGGAGCGAGTCTACCCAGTGTCTAACGGGAGCCAGCCACGCCCGTGGTGCAAACAGTGGGCTCTGGGAAGGAAGGACTCTCATTTGCAGAGTTGAGCATCTATTTACTTAATGCCTCTGGCAGTGAGCTTGAAATATCTATCACACTTCTTCAATGTCTGTAACTCATGGGTCACGTATTTCAAAGTCCTTCTGTCCGACACGGAGGCACCACTGACAGCTTAGTGTCTTAAATGACGTGGTTTTTAAAGGTTGACTTGATTAAAGATTTGACTTCCATAGGCTAACATTTCATGGGTAACTCTTTAGACCACCCAGACAAGCTTCTGTGATGCCAGAAAGAGCGAATCGGGCATCTGCCCAGTTCTTCTAGGCTCACCCCACCTCGGTGGACCCCACCCCCTGCCTCTCCCAGCTCACAGGACTGCAGCAGGGCAAGCCTGGAAGGACAGCGTTCCCTCCCCGCTCCCTTGGGCTCAATCCCACACTGCTGGCAACCCCCTGCCCTGTTGCTGAGCTCAGCCAAGGCCATGCCCGGGCCCTAACCTCAGGACGGTTCCCTGCTTGTTGGAGGCCGTCTCCACTCCCCAGCTTGGAATTTAACACTCAGCCCACCTGGCCCTGCATCCGCGTCCCGTCCCGGGCCTGCCGTTAGGCCCAGTGTCTCTGAAAAGCCTTCTCAAGTTCTACCCATGACCTGCCCCTGTCTCCTCCCTTTCTGTTTAATACGGGTTCCACCTGTGTACTAATTCCTGTCTTATCTTCTTAGCAATGTGACAGCCCTTTAAGAAAGCTCTGATCCTTTCTGCCCTCTCCCACTCCCTTCTGCTAATTCCTGAAACAAGGCCAAGGCCGAACTCCTGCTCCCCCACCCCTTCCATGATTTCTCAATAGCAACGAAGCACCAAAAGGTGGTTCTCATGGGAGAGGGGGCATTTTTTAGCTGTTACAATGTCTGTGTACCTTCAAAAGTGGCCACACAAGGAGACATACAGTACATCCGTGGAAGTAACATTTCAGAGGGAGGGGTTAGGGTGGAAATGCCCTCACCAAAAGACTTCATGGTGGCGGATGCTCGTAAGCAAAGGTTGAGAAACACTGTTCTTCACTAAGAAGGGCCGAGGGGACTCAGATGGTGGGAGGAGACGGAAATGAATTTGGTGTTCCTAAAATGTCTCTACATTTATAAAGTGCCTGGGGCAGAGCTGAAACCCAACATATGGTCATAATACTTGCCAATATTTATTATGCGCATACGATGGGCAGGCGAGATACCAAGATTTTTATACACCCGATCTTGTTTAATGCCCACTCCCAGTCCATGAAGAAAGTGCCCTGTTGCTGTCATTGTTAGATGCCCCCGAGTCAGCCCCTGAGTAATGGCGACGACCCCAGTGCACAAGGGCACAGAGACAACAAAGCCGCCTGTTCCTGTGCCCTCCCCATGATCTTGGGCTGGTTTCTGCAAGAACATCAACCGGATCTCTTCTCCTAGTCTGTCTTAATCTGGAAGCTCATACACCCTGCAAGCCTCCGCAGACAGATAGATGTACACTGGCCAGGAATCAAGCCTTAGCTCTAGTAAGTCAGAAAGCTTAAATCCGGAAGCCACATTTAAACATCTGTGTGGCTTCAAAGTCCAGCTCTGAGGTGGAAGGGGAAAGTGGCTCCTCTCTTCAGCGTGGAAAGAGGTCATTTGCTGGGCAGGGGTGGGGACGCGTTAACTGCTCTGGGCCGATGGAAGATGTCCTCTGCACCCAGGGCCATGATGATGACGGCCTGTGACCTCTCGGCCATCACCAAGCCCTGGGAGGTCCAGAGCAAGGTAAGGACTGGGAGGAGGACCCCAATGCCGATGACATCAGGAAAAGAGGCTTGGGCCGTTTCCGCCCAGACCCAGAGCCCACCTGCCATTCTCCCTCTTCCTCTGCAAAGCCAGGGGGCTCATTTTCGGATCTCACCCATGGTTACATTGACGTGAGAGCTGGGGTGGCCAAGCGAGGGTGGAGTTTCTCTTTTTGCTGGGCTAGCAACCCACCTGGGGTCGGAAGGAGCCCAGCAGGCTGGGGGCTGGGGCTTAGACTGTGTGATTCTGTCGGTTGCAGGTAGCTCTGTTGGTTGCTGCTGAATTCTGGGAGCAAGGTGACTTGGAGCGCACAGTTCTGCAGCAGAACCCCATTGTGAGTACGACAGGGGAGACACACGTGACCCCAGCCTGACACAGAGTGTGACCTGGGCCTGATGGCAAGGCACGACCCCCATTGGAGAGAAGTGTGACTGTACTTACCATAGAGGTGATGCTTCCTGAACGAAGTGGTCCTCAAAATATGGCCTTGGGACCCCCGTGAACCTTATCCCTTGGGAACCTGTTGAGAAATGCAAAATCACAAGCCACCTTGGATCCAGTCATGAGAAAGTCGGGGAGTGGGGTTCCGCCAGGTGTGCTTGAATAAACCTTTCTAATGTTTGAGGACCTGCCCTAACCCATATGCCCCCAGCTCACTCCAAGCGGAGGTGGACCGGGATGATTAAGTGCCATCGAGCAGACCCGGTGACACAGCCCAGCCCTGCCATCCCCATGGCCACTGCTGTGTGTGAGCCCAGTGGCAGCCAGGTGGCCGTCCACCTTGTCAAGGCCCTTCCTGTTTTGGATGCCCCTCGGCTTCACTGAGCAAGGCTCCTTCTCCAGGCTCCGGTCTTTCCCCAGAACACATCCAGACACGTGGGATGAAACTGGCCATTCTTGCTTCTGCGGAGCAGCCTGGCTGTCCTTCAGCGACTAATGCGCTTGCTCTCCTGGCGCTCTGAGTATGTTCAGTGTCGTGGTCAGCATCCCCCCACCCCCAAGGTGATCAGTTCTCCTTGGGTCGTTATTGGCATCTCTCAAGCTGAAAGAGCTGAAGGAGGTCGTCCAAGCCTCCGGCTGAGAGGTTTTGCTCTTGGCGCCATCATGTCTTCGTTTTGCCCTAGCACACGAAGCGGGCAGTAGATCACAGCCAGCCTTTGCCTTCCGGCTGCCCTGGAGCCCCTTCCCCTCCTTGTAAAGCTGCCCCCCCGGCTCCCAGTGAATGTTCACTGGACCGGGCTAGTCAGCCACCTTTCCCAGGTGACAGGTGATGGGGAAGCTGGAGAGGAGAGGCGGGCTGGGAGAGGGGTCAAAGGAAGTGGTGTTGTGGGGACAGCACTGTAAACGTAGGGGCAGGGTCACGTGTCAAAGTGTGCTAAGGGTGCGGGGCAGCCACACAAAGCTATGGTGGGGCTGACGGACACTGGAAGGAGGAGGAGCAGGTCAGTGCCATGACCATGAACAGTAAGTACTTGCTTGACTCCTTGTGTTTCTAAAACTTTAAAAAAATGAAACATAGCCTGAGCCGCACCCACTCAGCAGCCAGATTCAACCATGAGCAGCCGTCTGTTAGTCTTGATTTCGGTGTTCTCCCCGGGCATCTCTGTCCTCCGCTTGACGGGAGCCTTGAAAACAAACCCCGTGAATAGTGTCCCATGAGTGTCCCTTCTCCCCTAACTAATTTAGTGCTTATCTCTACGGGATGGAGTGTAGAACACGCTAGCTCACGCGTGTACAACCACAATCCCACCATCACACTCACAAAATGAATCATAATCATACAAACTATTATCAGCTAATCCCCAATGTCTGTTCACTTCCCCTCATCGAGTAAGAGAAATCCTCGGGCTGGTTCATTCAAATCAGGATCCAGCCCAATCAAGGACCACAAATACATCTGCTGTTGAGTGGCTATGTCCCCCAAAGCAAACCCACTGCTGAGGATTCGGGCTTGTAGCAACTCTGTAGGCAGAATGGAGCTGCCCGCTCGGGTTTCTGAGGCTGTACATCTATCTTTATGGGAGCAGAAAGCCTCATCTGTCTTCCTGGGAAGCAGCTTGTGGGTTTGAACCACCAACCCTGCAGGTAGCAGTCCCATGCCTCCTTGTGCTCCTGAAGTCTCCTCCAACTGGTAACAATTCCATCACCCATGTTTTCTTTGGGGCAGGGGGCTGGGGGGACTCATATGTCACCTAGCTGTGACTGACGTCGACTGCCCACCTGCTGGGCTTGGCTGACTGCCCCCGTGGTGGTAGTCTATGTGTCCTCTGCGTGTGCCCTGCGTGTTCCTCTACCCCCGGAGCTCCTCCAAGCTGCAGCTTTGATGAGGGTGTGGTTGGCTTGCTTTTTTATCAAGAACCTTTCCTAGGAAGATCGGGGCTCTTCCTATGGAATTATGTCAGGAGGTGCCCAGTACGTTTAACCCTTTCTCCCCCACGACAGCCCATGATGGACAGAAACAAGGCTGACGAACTCCCCAAGCTGCAGGTCGGCTTCATTGACTTCGTTTGCACCTTTGTCTACAAGGTAAGTCCTCAGACCTAACAAGGAGTCACTGGTAATCCCAGGATTCCCAAACAGCGTTAGCGGTGATAAGACCTGGCAAGTGAGCAGTCCATGACACTTTTCCAAGCACCTCTCATCCCTGATGGCATTTGAGCCCACGACAGCTCCAGGGGGTCTCGTGTGACTCTATCTCCAGCCCGGATCTTGGAGCTTGGCACAGCCGAATGGCTAAGACAGGCAGAGAGGGAACTTTGCAGACACGTGCCCTCCCAACCTCCCTGGCTGGTGGAAACACCTAAGCCAAAGCAGCTCACTTGTCAGATGATCATAAGGGTTCCTCTTAGAACACTTGTTCAAGGCGAAAGCCCCCTTCTTAAGTCACCCACCGTTTCCAAATCCATCTGTGGCCCCTCCACCCCCCATTTAAAATTCTTATTTTGGCTCTGCTACCCATGAGGACACAGATGTCCGAGATGAGAAATGACTGGGCTAGTGTGACCAGACTCAGCCAGGACAGGACTCCTGAATGCCAGTGTTCTCTGTGCGCGGTGTGGGGAGAGCCCCCCTTCTGCTCAGAAGGAGAAATGGGGATGTTCCAGAGCACCAATGAACGTGCCTCTGTGATTTAATGCTGGCTAACTGGGCAGAGCTGACGGATCTACACCGCCATCAGCAACATTTCTAAGCGACAGAGAGGGCCTGAGCACTTGACACACGTCATCACCACACCCCTGTGAGCTGAGTTACAACTGTCTTGATTTCAAGGCAGAAGCTAAGCCAGCTTGCCCAAACCCAGAGAACTCTGAATGTCCTGGTTCTGGCTGCCAGAAACTAGCAAGTCCCAGATACAGCTGGCCAGACTACGGGCGCCCAGCCCAAGCCTCCAGAACCAGAGGTCAGGCGATGGCAAGCCAGATGCAGGATCCTGAGCCAGGAAGAGCCCGCCGAGCGTGCGCTTGAGAGGGGTTTCAAAAGTTGGAGAAAAAATCTAATGAAGAAGCTTTGAAAGCCCGCTTGTGTGTGTTAGGTAATGACCACTTCGCAAAGGACATCAGAGCTAGGGTGTGACTCAAGTTTCACTCCACACTAATCTTGCCTGATTAACACAGAGAGTTGGCATTTAAACACATAAAACGGAGGACCATTACATCAGGCCACCCAATGGAGGACAAGCACACATACTAGGAATCACGGCCTCACCAAGTTGACACTTCACATTGACCGTCACATGACCCAGTTACATTGACGCGGGCTCACGTGACTTCCTCTGCCTGTGTGGTCTTCATCGCTGCTTTTGTAGTCACTGGTTTTATCAAGATTTCTGATGCTTTAGCGACAATATTGTGGTAGGTAATATTTGAGGACCGGAATCAAGAAGGTTTTGAGAATGAAGTAATCGAATGAAAAGAAGTAAAAAAAAAAAAAAATCCACTTAGTGGCTAAGAATGTGACTAATAACATTGAAATTCGATGTAGAAAGGCTTTGCACAAAATTTTGTTCCCAATAAAATGATTAAAAATAACAACAAATTTATTTATTAGTATTCATATCATCTTAGAAATACAGTGAGTCCTGGGTTATGAACAAGGACTTTTCCTAACTTAGTCTTTAAAAATTTGAAGGTAGGGGAAGGGAGAGTGGAAAAAATGAGGAGCTGATAACAAGGGCTCAAGTGGAAAGCAAAGGTTTTGAGAACGATGAGGGCAACGAATGTACAAATGTGCTTGACACAATGGATGGATGTGTGGATTGTGATGAGTTGTACGAGCCCCCAATAAAATTATTAAAATAAAAAACAAAAAAAAACACACATTTTAATGGAGAACTCAAAAATAGCCTTGGGACTCTCCTAATATTGCCTAACTGGGGGCGGGGAAATTGAAGGTAAATTAGAACAGGCACCAATGGTTCTTACTGATTCTGACTTCAGTGTCAGAAGATGGGGGCTGGTCCAACTGAACTTTTAAAGAGAGGGCAACTGTACACAGTATTGAGGCAGGGCTAACACTGCATCACCCCATTCAAAGATGGCGGTGCCCCACTCAAAGAGGGCGGCAGACCTTACAGCTTTGAAGGGGTGTTTCCCATTCAAAACAAAAACCCTCCCAGCCCTGCCGATCATTCAGTCTCTTCAGGAGTCTCCCACTCCTGCCGGCCTCCCCGTGGCCCTGCGGGCCGCACACTGAGAGGCCTTGACTTAGAAGCTCTCTGGGCTTCGCTCCAGTGACAAATCACCCAGACTGGGACAATCCAGGCCTGCTTCTGTTCACTTCCTCAGTCACGACAGAATGGGTTCAAAACCCTGCATTCAAGAGCCGATAGGAATTGTCTGTAAATCGTCATCCGGGAACTTCCTGTATTATATTTAAGCAATTTAAACCTATAGTTACCACACAGTAGTCCATATCAAAGTGGATAATAAACTTTACGAAGGATTCTGTCAGGACTGGTGCAGGAGGAGGTCCAGGGGGAGGAGGGCTAGAGGTGCCACCGGGAGTTGCTGCCTGGATGTCACCGCCATAGTGTCACCACTGGGGACAGGCCCCAGATGTCCCGTTCTGCCCTCAGGCCAAGTGCCTCCACCGTCTGACTCTGCGTGTGCTCCCCGAGGGGTGCACCGGAGACCGATCTTGCTTTCCCATCTGACAGTTGAGGAGGGTTGAGGGAGAGAAAGGACGTCATCCACTCCCACTTAGATGCTAGGCCGCACTGAGGCTGTCTTCTTGAGTTGGGACTTGTGGCTGGGCCCCCAGGTGAACACCTGTGTAGCTGTATAGTGGAACTGCCCCACCGCATTGCCTTGGCCACCACCTTTGCAGAAGCAGAGCGACAGGCTTTCCCTGCTGGGTGGGTGTGAACCACCAACCCGGAGGTTGACAGCAGAATGCTGAACCACGATGTTCCACCAGAGCCTCTTTGTGTTGGAAGAGCCCCAGACGTTGTGTAGGCCGGGCCACCCTGGTGAGCTGGACTATGTCCGTCCTTGTCCTCCAAACTCCATCTTGGGGGAGACAGGTAGAGGGGTTCATTACCCCAAAAGTGCGACGGGGTTAGGAACTTCTAACCGGGTCAGCAAACACTTTCCTGAAGACATGATGTTTGAGCTGAGGCTTAAAGGGAAAAGAGGGGCGTGAAGGTGTCCCTGCGAGAGGCCCGTCGCAGGAAGGAGTCGGCCTTCAGAGGGACTAGACTGAGGATTTGAAGAGCCAGTGGATACTGGGTTGTGGAGGGCTTGACTTTCATCCGAAGGGCTGAGGGTTTGAAGCAGAAGACCCTACAGCGTCAGCTGGCACAGGGCTGCGGAGGGACACCTGCTGGGCAGCCCCAGCTCTGCTATTGCACCCCTGCTTCAGCACAGCCCCAGGGGCCTGCTGGCCTCTCAGCACACAGACTCCCTCTCTCTTCCAGGAATTCTCCCGTTTCCATGAGGAGATCACCCCCATGCTGGACGGGATCACCAACAACCGCAAAGAGTGGAAGGCCCTTGCTGACGAGTATGATGCCAAGGTGAAGGTGCTGGAGGAGGAGAAGCAGAAACGGCAGGCCGCCAAGCAAGGTTCATGGAAAAGGGGAAGGTGGCGGGCTGGGGACGGGGAGACAGGGTAAGGTGGGGCTAATGCCTGGCCTCAGGGCCTCCCTTACACTCGCAGTCCCATCTTGGCTTTCCAGGGACCTGCTGTCATCCCAGATGAGGGCCCTGAGCTCAGAGCAGAGCAGAGTCATGGCCAAGGGGTTCAGAGCCTGGCTTCCATGACTGGGCTGAGAGAGATTCTCAGACTGCCTCACCAAGAACAGGATAGGCTCCGATTTTAAGAACAGCTGTGCACAAATGTCAGGGGCAAAGGGGGTACACCAGAAGAATTTTTGGTTGCGAGGAGTTTTAGAAGTCCTATCCCAGCCTCCTGTCCATGTTTCAAAACGGAGATCGTAAAAGACCAAGGCTGGGCCTCACTAGTCCCACATGCTGACGGCCCTCTGGATGGGATGGGGGCTGTCTCCATTCATCAGGCTCCAGGCTCCCTAGATGGAGCGAGACAGGAAACAGCCCAAGTGCTGCTGTCACGTTATCAACCCGGCATGCTGGTCATTCCCTTAAAGCAGAGAAACAGTCTCACTTCCCAAAGCCCTCGAGTGTGTACCTTACTGCAAACCGGCTCTGAGAGGAAGCCTCCTCTCTCACCTGTTCTCTTTCCTGTCTGATTGCAGCAGCCACAGGAAGCCAGGCTGGGGGAGGTCCGGGCCCCGCAGGGGACACGCCAGCGTCCAAGTCCTGCTGCATCCAGTAGCCCCCCGGGGGACTCAGCCCGCTGGCAGCCCGGCACCTTCCTGGGGAGAGATTGCCCCAGCCAGCGGAAAACCACACACCTCCTTGAGAAAGTAAAAGAACCCAAGAATTTGAACAGGAGAGAACTGAGCTTTCATTTCATTTAGTGGTTTTCAAACACCCTGTAGTCTTGAGAACTCTTGTTGAGCCGGAACAAGGATTCTTAGACAGCCATTAAACAGTTCATGAATGCTAGACTCACCTACTTGTGTAGAATTGCTTTTGTTCTTATACTTCCATGTAATGGTTTATTATAAAAATTTTCAATTACTCCTCAAAGTAGAGAATTGTATGAGTCCTCTACAAGCCCATCACCCAGATTACAAGGACTACATATGACCTCCTCCCTGGGGGACGGACAACAGAAAAGTGGGTGAAAGGAGACGTCGGACAGGGCAAGATGTGACAAAATAATGATTTATAAATTATCAAGGGTTCATGAGGGAGGGGGAAGCGGGGAGGGAGGGAAAAAATGAGCTGATGCCAGGGGCTTAAGTGGAGAGCAAATGTTTTGGAATGATGAGGTCAATGAATGTACAAATGTGCTTTACACAATTGATGTATGGATTGTGATAAGAGATGTATGAGCCCCTAATAAAATGATTTAAAAAAAACCCCATCACCCAGTTGCAGCAAAGCAACATTTGCTAAAGTTTTTCCTGTTTCTTTCCCCTTTGTTCCCGCCCTTCTACCCCTACCCCCCTACACACACACACACACACACACACACACACTTTAGTTGATATATTTAAAGGAGCCCTGGTGGTGCTGTGAGACACATACTGGGCTACTAACCCCAAGGTCTGTTGTTCAAACCCACCAGCTGCTCCGGCAGAGTTCCAGTCTCAGAAAACCCACAGGGACAGATCTGGCTTGTCCTCTAGGCTCACGACAAGTGTATCTGGTTTAGGGTTCAAGTAGTTAAAAGCCAATTCCAGACATCGTCGTTTTCACCACTCCATCTTCAAGAAAATGAGGGTGTTGTCCCACATAACAGGCACCCTTCTCAAGGCAGCAGGTGAACAGTGGTCCTTTGTTCATGGTGGATGCTGCGAGGAGCTGCCAAATCCCCCCTTCGGTGGAGGACGTGGGGGAGCCATGGCCCGGCAGCCCCTTTATTGCCTCTACCACAAGGAGCTGCTCTGCCCAAGGTCATCCACACCCAGGCCAAGGAAAAGGCCTGGTCAGCTTGACCTGATAGGGGTCACCTCTGAAGGGTCCTACGGGCTCCAGAACTCCCATGGGACCCACCACAGCTGTTGCTCTGCAGCTGTTATGCCCGCTGCCCACTCCCACTCCCTGTCCTCGGGTGAGGGTCCCAAGGGTCCTCCTCCGTAAGACGCAGCCCGCAGACCGAGCCCATGTGGCTGTCTGCCGCTAAGGACACTCCATCCTCAAGGTTCGCTTTGGCACCAAAATGTTTTCCAGAGGGCTTGCTTGCCGGCACCTAAGCCCAATGCGTCCCACACCTCCCCGTCACGGTGTGCAAGTCTCCTGCGATGTGCATAGCACCCCCTTCGTGAATTTCTTTGCTAGTGGTTTGTGGCAGAAATGGGGTAGATTATCCTGTAGGACATCCCTGGTTCTGATGTACATATTCATTTCCTTTGGGTGACATGTAACCGTTTCCTCTGTCCCCATCCTTCCACCAATGTGCACGAGCCGTTGTAATTTTCCAGAACACGGCATTAAACGATCTCAAGGAAGAACGTGTTTCTCTAATTTGCACAAATTGCCTTTGGAACTGGAAGCAGTTGTGTGCAAACTTGTCAGCTGGTGTCTGGGCTTGGGTGGATGCCCTTCCTCTCACGCACAGCGCCACGCAGAAGCCAACATATGAAGACCGCGGTTTTTATGAAAGCGAACTTGTTTGTAAGCTCGACATCTGCTCTTACCTAGTTCTTTATATGAGGAAACGGGCTCGGGAAGATGGCAAGGTTGGGTCAAATCCCTGGCTCCACCCCAGTCAGATGTCTAGGGGCATGGGGAACAGAATCCTGGGCACACAGTCCCACATGCACTGTTGGTTACCCAGGCCCCTGGTGCATGAGCCCTGCCTGTATTTCATGTCAACGGGGAGCTAGGTCAGGGCCCCTTTCCTCTTAAACCCCTAAACTACACATTCCACCCTCTGGAAAGGAACATTCTAAGAGCACTGCTCTGTTAAGTGGGAACGGGTCCCTAAGCACATGACAGGTGGTGGGCTCAAGGCAGGGTAGGAAGAAGCATGTGGCAATGGTGCTGCTGGTCCTGGCTCTGCCAGGACATCTCTCCAGAGCCCACCCCTCCCCGCCACCCCCGCCAGGGTTCTGGAGAGTAGGGGGTCATGTGCGAGGGCATCACAGCTCATGCTCACAATGAGCCCATCGGGCAGACACTCCTAGCAGCCCCATGTATCAAAGGACAGTGTGATGTGTCCACTTGGTGAGGTTGGACAGGCACTGTGGAATATTCCATCCTGTGATCTGACGTGAGCAGTTGGAAGTTCCCCTGGGGTTGTGACCTGCCTCTAGCACGCACATGGATGTTCTCGGAAGCCTTGTTTCTCTCTACCCTGCACTCTTCCAGTTCCTGGGTCATAAGCCAGCAGAGGCCTCCAGTCTATCGCCGGACCTGCGGATGCTGGGTTGGTCTGTCAGCCTGTGTGGAGGGCTTGTGTTGACCTGACTCACGGTTGTGGGACCTTCTAGCCCCCTATGGCTGTGGGAGTCATTTCCTTGAAGTAAATGGGTTTATAAAGACACTTCCCTGGGTTGGGTCCTCTAGAGAACTCAGACTAAGGCAGGCGGGAAGGAGACTCAGTGAGGTTGACACCTGCCCAAGGACATGCAGCTGGTGAGTGGTCAGCACTGGGAGGCAAGGAGCCGGACAGTGGACCCCAGCTTGTCACCACACTGCTTCTGAGAACTAGCTGCTTGGACTCCGAAGGGGCCTTTGAGTTCAACTAAGCAAACCACCTCACTTCATGAGCAGGGAAGCGGAGGCCAGACAGGGCTTGATGCAGTTCAGACAACGTAGAAGTGGCAGAGCTGAGCCTCCAACTTGGGTCTTCAGGCTCTCAATCTGCCATTTGATTCCTCACCAGTCAATGGGTTCTGGTTTTTGGCTGGACTGCTGTGGGGTACCAGCCCCCACAATCGAATGGGTTGTATAATTGAGGGGTAAAATTAATAAGACATGAGACAAGATAAAGCATGCAATTGCTCACCTCCCGGATGGCCATGACGTCAGCAGCCAGGTCCACGCAGAGAGAGAATACATTTCCAGCCAAGGTTTATATACACTCTAGGGGTTAGAAAGCCCCCTTAATTCTGGGTCACCACATGCATAACAGGAAGGGGGTGTACAATAGGCATACGTGTGACAGGAAGGAGATGAGCTAGGGGTGTATGTGCACCAGATGGGAGGCACCAGGGGCTCCACCGCAGGGAGACCCACATTCCCCCTTCGGCTGGGCTCTCCCAGCCAAGGGACGTGCTTCAAGCTCCCTCCAAGTTTCAGCTCTAGGACAGCCTCTGACTAGACACCGCTGTGCAACTGTCTGTTTGACATTGCAGCGTCAAAGTCTCTCTGGAGCAGGCTTATGGAGCGTGCCTGTACACGGTTTCACGGAAGTCACAGTACAGAGTCCTGAGTGGTGGAGCTGAGATGTGAGATAAGCCTGCACGGCCCCTTCGCTGCCCCGTGGCTGTGGGGTCGACTCCCGATTCAAGCACCGTCATGCCACTCAGCACAGACCTGGGCTTCGTAGGGTGTTTGCTTATTTATTTGTATTTTTTAAGATCAGGAGACTTTCATTAGGTATCACTTGTTACTACATATTTTTAAATCACTTTATTGGGGGCTCGGAGAACTCCTATCAGAAGCCATACATTCACTGTGTCAGGCACATTTGGAAATGTGCTGCCATCATCGTGTACCATCATCGTGTAGGGTCTTTAGACTCAGATCGCTGGCCCTTTCTTCCAAGGTGCTTCTGGGTGGCTTTCCACTGCCAACTTCCAGTGAGGAGAGATCACATGAGCCATTTGCACCGCCCAGGGGTTCCCCCAGGGCTGTCATGGACCCCCTCAGCATGCTCCACGTGAACAAGAGGTGGGAGACGTGATGTTGCTGCACTGTGAAGACGGCAGTGATTGACGTGAAGCAAACGTGTATGAATTGTTGAAGGGACAATTGATTTGCTTGGTAAGCCTTCACCCAATTGAAAAAAAAAGTGAACCCAGAGTTTCGGTGGGGCAGGGACTTTCCTGAGGAAGCGACCGCGAGCCTTGGGACCGCTTGCACATTTAGAACCCACGGTGCTCCCCCCCCCCCAAATAAGCACACAGGACCCACTAAAGAAAGACACACCTGGGCAGGGCGGTGGGTGGGATTTCCTTTTTAATCTCCATAGTGTAGTTGTTAGGTTTACTTATAAGCAGATCACTTAACTATTTACAGTACATGAGCATAGAGATTCTACAGTTTTTGTGATGTAAACAATAACTCCCCAGTGGGAGTCTGAGAAAAGAAGCCAGTTCTGAAGTATTTACACACGTTAAAATAGAACTTTATACTCACGGCATAATAATACATAGAGCAATTTGGTTAAATTATCTATGAAACTATAGAATCTGACAATGTACAAATACAGGAAAACAGTTTGTCGTTTAGAAGGTAGACGGGGAATCACATGGGAAATAAAATAGGGAAGATGCAACCACGGTCATTGAAAGCAAAGAAGGGCTCTCCCTTGCCTCTTTCAGATAAAGTATTTATATAAATAAGGACACAACCCAACAAAATGGAAAAAATATATAAAAATCCTCTACCGATTAAAAAAAATAGCGAAACTAAGAACTCGATTCTCAATCATTAGCAGTGTCCTCTACAAAATTAAAATGTAGCTTTCTGTTATAAATAACAAAGCAGATGTGTCCCTCTGTGTAGGTGACATTCTTGCACCTTTCTCAGAAATGC